TCATGCCACTATAACTCACAGTTCATCATTGTGACCCTTTCCCACTGCCACCGATTCCCTTAGAAATCTTTCAGAACCTCCTGTCAGCTTAGTATAGGCAGCATAGGTGTGAGATTGACACTGAGACAGTCTCGACAACTGATCCATGGGGCAAGACCTACTAGGGATGAGCTGCTGCGGCCATTAGAACTGACACCCCACCAAGTCTGTGCAGGTTGTGTTCTTGCATGGAAAGAGTTAACTCCAGCTTTAACTGCTGGCTTGCTCCTGCCACCAATCTGCATCAGCTGACAGCTGATGTCTGGATTCATCCACTCCATTCAGGTCAGCCAGTTTACCTGTGGAGTACCGATTCAAATCTTCCCTTCTCCCCTTTCCAGTTTCAACTACATGATTAGCAAGGATACCTGGATTGAGAAATGGCCAAATGATGATGAATGCCAGGACGAAGAATTCCACGACCTGTGTATTGACTTATCTCAATTTTCTAACACACTGATGACTTTCGGTTGTAACACTTAACGATGGAGATGTCAACTGGAGCCCATGAGATGGGTTTGAGTCAGCGTTTGAAGGACACCTTCCCTCCTGAAGTTCACCTTAGGTTTTTTGCTCAATTTCTCCTTAAAGGGGGGGGGGGAGTGTACATGTACCAAATAAAGAATTGATTTCTTACTGTTGTGTCATGTTAATTCTTTGCCAATCACCTTATGTTTCTAATGCTCTTTCAGTTTTTATTCATTTAAAGCACACCATCAGTGTGCATGAATGGGAACACAGGTCTAATAACTTGACACAGGGAAACAACAGAGACGGGAGGCAGGGGTGGATAGTCAAATGTAATTGCAAATTTCTGATGGTTGCTAAAAAAACATTAACCAATGAAGTTGACAGATGCGTTGTAATATAGGTGATTCCTACATTGGACCTGTTTAGTTCAATAACTTTTTTTCCTGATCTCTCGGGCAGCTACAGCAAACATAGAAACCTTACAGGCAACATATTTATCTCTATAAATTGATACCCTGTTGTTTAAAGGAAACTCACTGAAGAATCTCTTTCAAAAGCCTTTCAAAATCTCTTTCAAAAGGGGGAAGTATACAGGATGCAATGTAATACATAATCAACAATATCCTCCTTCTCCCCCTGGCCACAAATGTGTAGACATGTAGGAAAGTGCCCATTTGCTTTCAGGGATAAACTTAAAACTGAGCTAGAACAGATGGTGCACACGCAAAGTATTGGAAGACACAAGATCTACCCACCCTGGAAGAATGGCAGATGAAGGTGATGGACTATATGGAACTGGCAGAAATGACCGGCAGAATCCGAGACCAGGGAGAAGAGTCGGTGGAAGAAGATTGGAAGAAGTTCAAAGATTATCTACAGAAATATTGTAAAATTAATGAATGTTAGAACGATGTTGGAAAAAATTAAGTGGTTTCTAGCTGTAATGCTCTAAGGGAATATGAAAAAGGGGTTGTTAAGAGGTAAAAATCTAATGTTATTATATTAAGATCAAAGATTAGGATAAATAAAGAGGGTAAGGATTTGCTGAACCAACAAACTGAACTGGAATACAAAAAAGGGAGGTATGAGGAGGTCCGGGAAACAAGCTAAAGAAAAATAAGCAATGGAAAATTTGAGTGTTTTTAACCATTTTTATTTTGTATTTTGTATTTATTTATTTTTCTTTCTTTCTTTTTCATTTTTTATTGTAATACTTTTAAAAAATCTTAATAAATATCTTATAAAAAATAATAATAGAACAGATGTTGCACTTACAAGGAAATGCAGGGGAAAGAGAGAGAATCGAATGGAGCCGGTAAGCAGCGGTGGAGCAAGACAGTAGTTGGAACATTTTGTTTTGCTTTCTCACAGATGGCAGGGGAAAAGAACAGGAGATGTGTCTACAAGCAAGGAAGCTATTTTATTCTGCCCGATTCTGGTAGAATAAAAGGAAACCAAGGTTCTGTGAAGGAGAGAAAATGCAGGTGAATCCAGAGTTTCTTACCACTGTTTTTTTTTATAGAGAGAGACTTTATTCTGGGATCTAACATGTGTTAATGGTGAAGATTTGATACAACAGTTTGGGAAGGACACATTAGACTGTGTAAGTGTGCATTCAAGATCAAATCTAAATAATTGTATACCCTTCAATAAACTCTCTTCCTATCCTTCCCCGTATTCCTCAATGTCTGCTTCTTCCCCAGAAACAACTACCGTATTCGCCTGAATATAAGCCGCACCTGCAAAAAAGCCACACCTTTAAAATTCAGGGAGGGGGGAGAGAAAAAAAGACAATACCCAAATATAAGCAGCTCCCTTAAAATTCCACAGGCACTCACACCTGTAAATGGCAAATGTAGAAGAAAATCCTACATCATAAAAGCCAATTTTTGTAAGGTCATGAATTTAAGCCGCACTTTAACTTTTCACGGTCAGAATTTGGGAAAAAAGTGAGGCTTATATTCAGGCCAATATTGCTCTCTTCAAGCCCCCTGCTTCGGAGCTTCTTCCACTATTATTTTATAAGAAATTGCAATTTATAAATGCAATATTTAAATTAAAAATTCTTTAGCAACCCTGAACAACCTTTAGGCTGGGAGCAGGCAGCAGTCAAGGTGCCTCTTTACAGTGGTACCTCGCAAGACGAATGCCTCGCAAGACAAAAAACCCGCTAGACGAAAGGGTTTTTTTGTTTTTTGAGCTGCTTCGCAAGACGATTTTCCCTATGGGCTTGCTTCGCAAGACGGAAACGTCTTGCAAGTTTGTTTCCTTTTTCTTAACACCGTTAATACAGTTGTGACTTGACTTCGAGGAGCAACTCATAGAACGCGGTGTGGTAGCCTTTTTTTGAGGTTTTTAAAGACTTTGGTGATTTTTGAAGCTTTTCCAAAACTTTCCCGACACCGTGCTTCGCAAGACGAAAAAAATCGCAAGACGACAAAACTCGCGGAACGAATTAATTTCGTCTTGCGAGGCACCACTGTATTAGGAATGTTTTCTTGAGGAAAAGATGGGAGCTTGCTCAATTAAATGGCCCAGGACCAGTGTTGAGATAAGAATGTGAATTTATGGCTCTAAGCTAAGCAAGTAGTTTTTGCACAAATAATTTGGAAGGGAAAGGTTCAACAACTGCGTTGCTAAGAAATGCAGACTTTTGGCCATCTGTCTTGGATGTTTTCAATGAGATCCCTGCATTGCAGGGGTTGGATTGATGACCCCCGCACTCTACAGTTCTAGGATTGTAATATTCTCTTCACCCAAATTAGAGCTGCAACCAGATTGCTCCCCAAAATCTGCAAAATCCGACTGCAGGTGTTAATGCTCTACAGAAGCTGGCGACTCTGATATTTATAGGCCATTTGAAAATAATATATTTTGACAGTATCTTGATTTGCATCTGTACTAATGGGCAGCGTGACATACAAGTGGAGTCAATGTTTGACAATATACGGCATGTTGCAGTTAGAGTTTACCCTGACCTGACTTGTATGTCATGTAAAGGGATGGTTTCGATTATGTGTATAAAGGCTGGGGCTTGTGGGCTTCTGGGTTTCTTCTCCTGCATGCAGAAGACTGGAGTTTCATCTTCTGTTTTCAGCTAACCACAGATACCAGTTTTGCCCAAACCGAGAAATGTGATTTTTGTTACGTAAGGTTTAGGGAAACCAGCAAGAATCATAAGCAAAAGTTGGTTTGTTTTTCTAAACCACAGATAAGACTAACCACAGTTTGTTTGTGCGTGTGACATATCAGTAACTGTTTTGTCAATTCAAAGTGGAAGCAAAGATTTTCAGTCTCCTCCTTACGGTTGTATTAGAGGAAAAGTGATTCACTATGGCAGACCCTCCAAGTGTCCTAATTTTCCGGGGACGTCCCTGATTTAGAGAAGGCGTCCTGGTTTCTGATTTGATCCCAGAATGTCCCACTTTTCCTTAGGATGTCCCTATTTTCATTGGAGAAACGTCGGAGGGTATGAAGCTATCTGAACCCCGAGCTGTCTGAAAGCAATCCTGTATAGGGAAGTGTTGTTGTTTTTTAAATGTTTTTATATATGTTGGAAGCTGCCCACAGTGGCTGGGGCAACTCAGTAAGATGTGTGGGATATAAATATCAAAATTATCATTATGGAAAGGGATGTCTCTATTTTCATCGGAGAAATGTTGGAGGGTATGCTATGGTTTGTGGTGTTATGTCTAAACAGAACCAGTTTTCCCTTTGCTACTTTTACGTTGGTTTTCAATTGTTGTACCTTGGAACCACAGAATTGTAGAGTTGGAAGGTACCTTGAGGGTCATCTAGCCCAACCCCTGAAATGCTTGAACCCATGACTCTGAAATTAAGAGCCTCATGCTCTACCCACTGAGCTATCTGAGTACTTACACTGATTTTAGATGGTTCTTGCTACTTTGATTTTTATAACTGGTTTTGCTGTTTCGTTGTGTAGAGTTCTAGATGTGTTTGTATACATTTGATGTTTCTAAACCGCCAAGAGAACCTAATCCTTTGGGGACATATAAATTGAAATAAAAGGTGGTGGCGGCCCCAGCTTAGAGGACTCTGAGCTATGCAAGGAACTTGGCTGGGCATACCAGGAAAAGGAAGAAGAAAAACTGATTCAGAGGTGTCAACCATGTCATAAAATGCCTGTGGGAAAGATTGTGGGGCAGGGAGGGGGGTGATAGAGAGCAATAATGTCAGCAGGGTTGGACTGGTATAAAAGGTAAAGGGACCCCTGACCATTAGGTCCAGTCGTGGCCGACTCTGGGGTTACGGCACTCATCTCGCTTTACTGGCCGAGGGAGCCGGCGTACAGCTTCGGGGTCATGTGGCCAGCATGACTAAGCCGCTTCTAGCGAACCAGAGCAGCGCACGGAAACACCGTTTACCTTCCCGCCGGAGCGGTACCTATTTATCTACTTGCACTTTGAGGTGCTTTTGAACTGCTAGGTTGGCAGGAGCAGGGACTGAGCAATGGGAGCTCACCCCGTTGCGGGGATTCGAACCACCGACCTTCTGATCGGCAAGCCCTAGGCTCTTTGGTTTAACCCACAGTGCCACCCGCGATGGAGCCAAAAGCAATGACATGGGCAGCCAGTTTTCTCTCCTCTTCCCTGTTAAGTTCTTAACAAAGGCAACACATGGGCTGTGTGTATATTGATGCCATAAACTGCATCCAGGTTGTTCTGACAGGCCAAGGCCCTACTCACATGAATGGGTTAGTCTACTGACAAGACTTTGATCAGAGGGGCCTTTTGTAAAGTGATACACATGCCTGGGCTGATCCTTCAGGAAGTTTACAAAGCCTTTTTAAGTATAGGTCTGTAATATAACTCCAGAAGAGAGCAACATCATGGGGACGGGATGTTTCCTGGTACAACATCCCCCTTCACCCCACCCTGAGAAGGCTTATAAAATGGCGCAGGAGTGGGATTGCGAGGTATTTTTCTAGGAACGAGGTGAAACTGTAAAGCTCTCTTGTTATTTTTGCTATTGGATGTTGTTTATAACACTGCTATGTTTATAAAACTGGAATTTTTTAATGTTTTTATATTTGCTGCTGTGTTGTTTCGCTGTTTTTCTGAAATGGATTTTGCACTGTTTGGTTTTGAAATGCATTCCTGTTTCCTTTGTTGGAAGCCACTTTGGGCTGAGATCTTTTTTGTTGCTGTGGTAGAAAAGTGGCATGCAAATAAAAGGAAGGAATGCATTATCACCTCAAGAGAGCCAAACCACCCCCCACAATAGGACTCTTACACCAGAGTTTGAAAATACATAACTGCACAACTGAGTACAATGTCTTTTCATAGTGACTAATCTGTGTCACGGGGTTTGCAAGAATGGACGCTGCTGTCAACGAAGGCTCAGGTCCAAAAGGTTTCAGAGCATGAGAAGGAAATGTTGTGTTTTTCCCCAGTTTGGTAACTTATGAGGGGATTTCCCTGTACTGTAATCTGTATGGGCTCACCGTTCCCACCCACTCCCTGCTGTTGATTAGAACTGTTTGTTTAGTTTTTCTCTGGAAACACTCCTGGCCTTGTTCTCTGGAATTTCAGAAGCTGGCATTTCCCTTCCCTGTGATGGAGGGATAAGAAAAAGCATTTTTCTTAAAAGAGAAGGAAAAGTGACCAACTCCATATGCAAATGAGGGACCTACTTTGCAAATGACCAGAGGAGATGCAGAAGGCATGTGAAGCGACAGCAAGGCATGGTGGTAAATGTAGAGAAATTCATGTATGAATAAACTAACCTGAAGCAAATAAACCATGGGTAGGCAAACTAAGGCCTGGGGGCCAGATCCTGCCCAATTGCCTTCTAAATCCGGACTGCAGACAGTCTGGGAATCAGCGTGTTTTTACATGAGTAGAATGTGTTTTTTTTATTTAAAATGCATCTCTGGGTTATTTGTGGGGCATAGGAATTTGTTCATTTCCCCCTCCAAAATATAGTCCGGCCCCCCACAAGGTCTGGGGGACAGTGAACCGGTCCCGTGCTGAAAAAAGTTGCTGACCCCTGGTCTACACGCAATTCATAAACATGCAGATATAATAAATTAATAATAATAATATTTTTTTATTTATACCCCGCCCTTCCTGGTTCAGAAAATCAGGCTTAGAGCGGCTAACAACAAATTCAAAACACTTAATTGTAGAAGCAGCATAAAATACAGTATAAAAACATGAATAACAATAAAATTCAAAATTCAGAAATCAATTTAGGGGAAATAAGCATTAGATAATCCCCAAGTCTAGCTGGCTGAATTGGTCCTACTTGGGCCAGCGAGGAGGCCAGGGGAGAATTAGCTGTGGGGTCTCAGAGCGGGTAATCTTCATAAAAGGGGAGGGGGAGGGAAGAGAAGGGAAATAAAAGATCAGGCTGGATTCAAATTAAAGGCCAGGCGGAATAGCTCTGTCTTACAGGCCTGATGGAAGGAGGTTAAATCCTGCAGGGCCCTGGTCTCATGGGACAGAGCATTCCACCAGGTCGGAGCCATCACTGAAAAGGCCCTGGCCCTGGTAGAGGATCTGACTTTCCTTAGAGCCCGGGACCTCTAAACTATGGTTATTCATGGACCTTAAGGTCCTCTGTGGGGCATACCAGGAGAGGTGGTCCCGTAAATATAGATATGCCAACACCAGTCACGGGAAGGGTGCTGACCTGGACTGCTTCTCTTTTTCTAAAAGGCTGCTATTTTTATTTTTTGCAAAATGCAATAAGCTGTTCTCTGATGTCCCCTCTCCTTTCTCCAGCTCTAATCAAAAGCACAGCCATCCCCTTTTAGCAATCAAAGGTCACTTGCTCGTGACTTTATCACGATGTCAGCGCATTATTTGCTATGACACTCTGATCTGCATCTGCTTTAGAAATATCTCTTTCCCCGTCCCATAGTGGGAAGGCTACCAAAGGACGGGTTAATGCTCCCAGTCCATGACCCGGTTCCGGGAATCTTGAAGCTAGGATACCCACTGCAACATTGTGCAAGCTGCATAAACAACTCCAGGGCCACCTCATTTCAACAAACAGTGTCTTTGCAGGGAATTCAGTGTAGCCTTATGGCAATTGTTCCATCAGTGCAAACATTTCAGCTTCCCAGACAGAACAACTGTCCTCTTCTCCCAAACCTGCCTTCCCCCAGCCTGTTGGAGGGTGCCAGGGGAGGAATGGGGATGGGGAAAACCCCCTGGGCCAGCAGAAGTCCTTGTGTGGGCCTCTGCTAACAGGTGAATCCAACCCTGAGTGCTATGGTGTAACCTGTTACAACATTTTATGTTGTATGCTTTTATGTTACATGCTTTTATACATGTTCAGTTGAGGTGCTGTTGTTTTTTTTAGTGGAACTTGCAGCCAAGAACTGGTGCAAAGGCGAATAGCATGTAACAATCACACAACCTGGATTGCTCAGCTGGTTAGAGAGTCCTGCTGATAATGCCCTGGTTGCAGGTTTGATCCCTATGTGGGACAGCTGCATATTCCTGCATTGCAGGGGGTTGGACTAGATGACCCAAAGGGTCCCTTCCAACTCTGCAATTTAGTGGTTCTATGATCAGTCAATAACCTGCCTTGATTATACAAATGTATGTGGATTTTAAGGGATGTGGGTGGTGCTCTGGGTTAAACTACAGAGCCTAGGACTTGCCGATCAGAAGGTTGGCGGTTCGAATCCCCACAACGGGGTGAGCTCCTGTTGCTCGGTCCCTGCTCCTGTCAACCTAGCAGTTTGAAAGCACGTCAAAGTGCAAGTAGATAAATAGGTACCGCTCCAGCGGGAAGGTAAACAGCGTTTCCGTGCGCTGCTCTGGTTTGCCAGATGACCTGGAAGCTGTACGCCGGCTCCCTCGGCCAATAAAGTGAGTTGAGCACCGCAACCCCAGAGTTGGTCATTACTGGACCTAATGGTCAGGGGTCCCTTTACCTTTATGTGGATTTGACATAAATGCAATGTAATAAAACAATCAAAGATGTCTGTTTTTAACTTTTTATAGTTTTATTGTGTGGCTTTATTGCTGCAATCTGCTTTGGTTTTTTTTTTTTTTTAATGATATAGCCCATATCAGTGGTGCCTCGGCAAGACCGAAAAGGAATCCGTTCCGGGATCTCTCGTCTAGCGGTTTTTTCGTCTTGCGAAGCAACCCCATATAGCGGCTAAAGCGGATTAGCGCTATTAGCCGTTTAGCGGCTATTAAAGGCCTTAGCGGCCTAAGGCTGTTAAAAGGCTATTAACGGCTTAGCGGCTTTGAAAAAGGGGGGGGAAAGCGGGGGGGGAAATGGCGAGACTCGCAAGACGTTTTCGTCTTGCGAAGCGCCTCCGAAACGGAAAACCCTTTCGTCTAGCGGGTTTTTCGTCTTGCGAGGTGTTCGTCTTGCGGGGCACCACTGTACAAATACTTTTTGTGCTCTTAAGGTTCTGTCTCTTCCAGACTTTTGCCACAGAATCTCTTTTACTCGGGTCTCATCCACACTCCAGCTTGTCCCGTGCATAGAGCCCAAAACACTTGGACCTGTGCTTAGAAATGCAGTGCAAAAGGTAAGGTGGATAAACCCTTGGTTAGCTCCGTAAGATGCCTTCAACTACAGCTCCTCAAGAGAAGTACCTATACGGAAGGAATTTAAAACTCTAATGACACTGGCACATGTAAAAGCTGTGCTATTTTTCCAGAAAAAGAGGTGCTGAAACTGAGTTTCCTGAGAGTTCCGGCTGGGGCGAAAAAAAGCCCTGTGTAAAAGCACACTAAAATATAATTTTGTCACACCCTTCTGTGTCGGTTCATTATAACAAAATTGATGGGGATTCACATTGCATACATATTTCCCTTTAAATGTGTTTGGCTCATCTGGAGTAGGAGTCCAGCATTTGTGCAACGTGAAAACACTCATCCTCCTCTGTGAAAAATGACGGATCTTGATAAAGGTATTTTTACATTGCTGTCTCCATCAATTAAAAAACCACAATGCAGTAAAGTGATGGAGCTGGATCTGAATTCATTGAATGCTGCACCTCCTTGAAATGAGACCTCTTGAAATGCCCTTGGGGCCTCCTGCCTCTCACCTGCAACACCTAGAGCCATAGATCACTTCTCACTCCCCGTGTTAGGACACTTGCTTTTGAGCAAGCTGTACTGAATGTTTGGCTGAAGTAAACACGCAGACATGTTGTGAAAGAATGTCTTTGGAGATTGTCCAAGCTCCGTTTCTGTCCAAATACCGTTGCCAAGAAAATAAACCTGTTACTGGAATCCAGCTGATGACTAGAATTTCCTGATTAACTCTTGATTGATTTGCATGGATAATTTGTAAATTGCTGTTTGTTTGACATCTTTTTTATCTAGGAACTTTTATCTGCAAAGAGTCATCATAACCCATTCCATTTATTCCTTTGGCCTCCAAACATTCCTAAGAAAAGGCACAAAGAAGCAGTTAGAGCATGCCAGAAGATGCTGGTCTTTGTAACTTGCAAAGAGCTAGCTGCAAGTCTTCCACTGGCGAACTTCAGCAGAAGGGCCAAAATGTGTTTGAAAAACACACCTGACCATTCACAAGTTGTGATTATGCAGTTCCCATTTGCACTTTTAAGGAAATGGATGTACATGGGATTTTTGGAGCTCCCCCCACCCAAATTGTTCCCTAGCCATGGCTCTTTGCAGACATGATTTTCCATATGAGATTGCATTTAGGGCCAATTTGGGGAGTCGCTTTGGACTTGCAGGACATTTGTGCACTCCCTTCCAGGTTATTTATTTAATAACTTTACATTTTGCACTTCCAACTCCCTAGAGTTTCCATGGTCACCATTATATATTTTTTAAAAAATAATAAAAGCAGAATATTCCCTGGCCATGTATGAGTAAACCCTATTAAAGAGATTGCCATCTCCACAGCTGTGTGTAACATTGTCTCTCAAAAAATGCCATTGTGGTGACTTGACATTGTCCTCAAGGTAGAGGACCTGGTACACTTTTTGTTGGAATGCCCTCGGCATGAACATCTGAGGACCTGATATCTTGAGTCCCTTGTTGCTGGGTTTAGTGACAACTCTCCTTTAAGCAAACGTTTTGTTCATATTGGCTGGGAAAGATTATTCTGTGTCATATAGGACTGACTTTGGGGAAACAGAAGTTGCTTACCATGTTATTATATGTTGATATCTGTACGTAAGTTACTGAAATGGCATAATCTTTCATCATATTTTTGTATGGTTTAATGTATTCTAGCTCCGAGGGCCTCCTGGCGGTTCCCTCACAGTGAGAAGTGAAGTCACCAGACAGAGGGCCTTCTGGGTAGTGGCACCCACCCTGTGGGACACCCACCTGTCAGATGTCAAGGAGATAAACAACTATATGACTTTCAGAAGACATCTGAAAGCAGCCCTGTGTAGGGAAGTTTTAAGTGCTTGATGTTTCATTATGCTTTTATATTTGTTGGAAGCCACCCACAAACCCTGATTTAGAGAAGCCATCCCGGTTTCTGATTTGATCCTATAATGTCCCGCTTTTCCTTAAGATGTCCTTATTTTCATTGGAGAAATGTTAGAGGGTATGGAGTTATTTGATCTCCAAGCTATCAGAAGGCAATCCTGTATAGGGAAGGTTTTTAAAAAACGTTTTCTTATGTTTTTATATATGTTGGAAGCCGACCAGAGTGGTTGGGCAACCCAGAAAGATGTGTGGGGTATAAATAGTAAAATTAATCATTATGGAATGGGAAGTCCTTATTTTCTTTGGAGGTATGTTGGAGGGTATGCACCCAGAGAGGCTGGGGCAATCCAGTCTGATGGACGGGGTACAATGATGATGATGATGATGATGTTTGTATCATCTGGTAGACCTGTTGTCCCTTCCGCACACTTAACTTTTCTCTTTCCCAGTAGTAAGATAAGTGGGGGAGGAGAGGGGAGGCAATGGGTGAGCCCAAGGCCCACCCGCAGTCTCTCCCAGGTAAATAAATAATTGTGTGTAATAAGTAAAAAAAAATAACATTTGCATAGAGCTCTTGTGATACAAGTGTCTCAAGCCAAGATGCCAAGAAGTTCAAAGCAATTGGAAAGACCTCTTGTTGCTATTGAGCATGCAAGGTTTCCTTCTTAGGGGATAGATACTGGTTGGGAAGCTGCACCCCAGGACTGGACTCTTCAGTGGTGTGTGTGTGTGTGTGTGTGTGTGTGTGTGTGTCAGAAAGGGAAAGTTTTCAGTCGGCCTTTTGAACCTAGGATTGGCCCAGATCATATTTGCATAGTATGCCAACCCCCACCAGGATTATCAAGAGCATGTTGCACAAACATACTGTTTAGCTGTTGCTGTAAGAAAAAAAGGGGAGGAAAAAGACAAATCGTGGTCACTTTTGACAGCCTTGCTAATTTATTTTGAAATTCCCAGGTTGCTCAAACTCCTCCCCATTTACTGATTAAACACAGAGAGATTGCAAAAGGGCTTGGACAGGGGCTCAGAGGATAAATACTGAGACAGTAACCTGCCTCTCCTGTTCCTCCAGATCACCATGGAGGGAACTGCTTTCTACCTGGTGGCTGCCCTCTTGGTCTCTTTCCCGACTTCTTCTCACAGCCAACTGTAAGTACATGTCAGATGTCAGCAGTTCACAGCAGAACCGCATTTCTTAAGCAAGGGGAGTTTTCTGCGCAGGGAAGCTGAGGAGATCCATCAAATTCAGGAATCTGGTCCTTCTAGGGGTGATTTAAAATTGCTTCAGATGTAGTGTGAAGAGGTTTTTTTGTGAGGGGGGGATTGCCTGCAGCAGAAAATCCAAATATCATTCTCCCCCCGGCCCCTCACCACCATAGTGATGGAAATATCATTTAAAATAATCACGAACCGGCTGCTTCCAGCCATACCCCTAAGTCTGCTGCCTGAAGCAAGCCACTTCACTGCCTACTGGCAGGGCCGGCTCTGAATTTCTGACATGCATAAATGTTCTTTGTACAAGAAGTGTAGAAGCCATGGAAGGACAGAAGAACCCTGCTTTAGCAAACTGTGTCTCTGGGTCCATCTGATCTCGCATTTTGCCTCCCTGGAGTGGCCCACCTTTGGAAAGCCCTCCATCGGGGCATGAAGGCAACAGCCCTGCCCTGTTGCTCGTCTCCAGTTTCTGATCACCTCAGAGCATGACATTTCCATTTAGCCATCCTGATTTAGGCTTCATGGTATGTCTGACAATTACATGTGTGTTTGTTCTGCTGCGTGTACATGTGTTGGAATGCTAGTCAGTTGTGGTGTAAAATGACTAATTACCAAGACATTTTATTTACCAAGATGTTTATTATGTTTTTATATGTGTTGGAAGCCGCCCATAGTGGACAGGGTATAAATATAAAAATGCAGTGGTACCTCGGGTTAAAGACGCTTCAGGTTACAGACTCCGCTAACCCAGAAAAAGTACCTCGGGTTAAGAACTTTGCTTCAGGATGAGAACAGAAATCGTGCGGCGGCAGCGGGAGGCCCCATTAGCTAAAGTGGTACCTCAGGTTAAGAACAGTTTCAGGCTAAGAACGGACCTCCAGAACGAAGTAAGTTCTTAACCTGAGGTACCACTGTAATAATAATAATTCTACCTGAGGCAAAGGGCAAGGTGACATCCCCTCTAGTTCTGTGTAGAGAAGCTTGTCAAATTGCCAGGGTTAATCTTATTTTTACACTAGTGACTGGACCTCCATTGCGCCGAGGGGCAGCAGGCTAGTTTAGGGGTTACAAACAGCTCCATCTTCCAACATTTTGCCATTGGCACTCACCCCCTGCCATCTGATTCCAGAGATGGCCACTTCCCTCTGCCTAATGACCAGTCCTGCATTTATGCACAATCAAAAAAGAGGAAACGCATCACCTTAAAAGAGGACACAGGTTTATCATAAAATCTGTATATGCTGCTCTCTATATAGAGATGCATCTTTAGCAGTGATTACTACAATTTATATAGGAATGAAATACCTCTCACCATAAGGTGGGAGAGGAAAGTGTGACCAGGTGAACTGCGTGCCTGTTTAAAGGTAAAGGTAAAAGGACCCCCGACCATTAGGTCCAGTTGTGGCCGACTCTGGGGTTGCAGTGCTCATCTCGCTTTATTGGCCAAGGGAGCCGGCATACAGCTTCCAGGTCATGTGGCCAGCATGACTAAGCCGCTTCTGGCGAACCAGAGCAGTGCACGGTAACACCGTTTACCTTCCTGCCAGAGCGGTACCTATTTATCTACTTGCACTTCATGCTTTCAAACTGCTAAGTTGGCAGGAGGAGGGACCAAGCAACGGGAGCTCATCCCTTCGCGGGGATTCAAACCATGACCTTCTGATTGGCAAGTCCTAGGCTCTGTGGTTTAACCCACATCGCCACCCGTATCCCTTGTGTGCCTGTTTACTATGCTGTTAATGGGCGATCTTTGCAAAGTCCTCGCTCTCCCTTGTTAGGTTCATTATCATTAAGTCAAACTTTGAACAGATAGCTCTTTGTATAGAGAACTCATTCAAATAATAGAGGGTTGTCCTCCAACAGCCCTTCAAACAGAGAAGTGTCCTTGGCACACTGACACCCTAGGATAGAACATGAGACTCTTAATCTCACGGTTGGGGGTTCAATCCTTTCGTTGGGCAAAAAGATTCCTTCATTGCTACATTGAAGGGACCTTGGGCTAGAGGAGCCTTGTGGTCCCAACTCTGCAATTCTATAATTCTGTTGTACGCACAGCTATATGTCATTGATGCCACATGTGATCAACTCAGCAGTTAGGTGAGCTGACTTCTGTCAGATGCCACCACTCTGTGTCTGTTGTGATGGGATGTGGGGAGGGTATGGAGCAAATGTGGAAATCTCCTCATCAGGCATAAATCAAAAGTTAGTACATCCAAAAAGGGAAAAGTTACAATCAAAAAGTCGCTGAACCTGACCTGGACTCAAATTTATTGGTTTAGAGAGGGTTTCTTGAAAGTAAGTTGAATTGAATCCAAACCTAAAATCTTTTTGTTGTCTTAGACTGAATAGGAACCCAACCTCTAATTCTAAAAAAAAGGTACACGAGAGCACACACATTAGGGAGCCAGACCCTCCCCCCCTTTTTTGTTGACCTTCTTATGTTTGGCTAACATTGGAAGGAGTCAGGGATTTCATGAAGGGACCCCAACCTTATGTTTTTACACCGTGCTTAGAGGCAAAACCTTCTCAAAGCAATTTACAAAACTTAAAACAATAAAACATGCATCATATACAATCAACTAAAACAACAGCATTATCTAGAGTGCTGGTAAGTAGTAACCAGTTCCCTATTGGCGGTTACAAATTTCAAACATAAGAGGAAAAAACGAAGTGCAGTATCTAATGTCAAGACTTATGCATCAAATGACAGCTGGTGTTCACATCCAGATTACTGTTCTGCAACTCTGGAACAAATTGTGGTGTGATCTCATAGGAGGAAGTAAGATGTTCACTTCACATTATGGCTGAGGTTAGAAAGTAATGATTGACAAGGGCCCTACAGTCATCCTTGCATAGGAGCCAACTCTTAAAGGCCAAGGTCCCTTTGCCCGCCACCCAAGTTGTTGGGCATTGCCATTCAAATGGTATGTGCGTGCCGCATCTTGTGATCGATTATGTGGGGTGGGGCTTACTCCCCAACCAGTATTTTATTCAAGTTGGCACCCCTGATTCCTTGGAATTTTTAAAACACTTCGTATACATGCCTAGGAGGTCACCTACATAAGTCTCCATCCTCTTCTGTTGTGAGTAATTTTGTTGTAAAACTAATTCAACCAGGCTTGTTTTCCTATTCAATGCAAGTGGACAGAGGATTGCAGGCAACATATATCATTCACCAATATAAAACTACAGCAATTACCCCAGTGTAATACAGTGGTGCCTCGCAAGACGAAAATAATCCGTTCCGGGATTCTCTTCGTCTAGCGGTTTTTTCGTCTTGCGAAGCAACCCCATTAGCGGCTAAGCGGATTAGCGCTATTAGCGATTTAGCAGCTTAGCGGCTATTAAAGGCTTAGCGGCTAAGCTGTTAAAAGGCTATTAACGGCTTAGCGGCTTAGAAAAAGGGGGGGAAGCGGGGGGGGGGAATGGCAAGACTCGCAAGACGTTTTCGTCTTGCGAAGCAAGCCCATAGGGAAATTCGTCTTGCGAAGCGCCTCCGAAATGGAAAACCCTTTCGTCTAGCGGGTTTTCCGTCTTGCGAGGCATTCGTCTTGCGGGGCACCACTGTATGAGCTTCATGGCTGTGTGAGGTTTTGAAGCCAGGACTGGACTCCCAGGCGCTAGCCCAACAATCTTATCTCTA